CCCTCACAGCACCCTCACATCCCCTTCACGTGCCTTTGCTGCAAGCTCCGCTGCAGCCCTGCCCTGAGGGCCGATGTGATGCCCTCGAGCAGCCTGGCTGATGTCAGGAGCCACCGTCAGCCCCAAACCATGGCTGAGCCACCTGTCCCCTCTGCCACTGCCCCCTGTTTCTGTAAGAAGGGGAAATGGGAACCAGCTCTGCTGAGCGAGGACCTGCAGACACATCCTCACTTCTCCTGCTGTCCACTGCAAGCAAGTCCTGGCTGATCCCAGCCAAGGCCCCCAGACCTGCCTATAACTGGAGCTGGACTGGTGCCTGCCACTGCCACAGCAGTGCCTAATGAACCACACTGAAGAATTACTGTGTCTGAAAAGCTGCAATGCTAAATGCCAGCCTGCCTGCCTCTTCCCAGCCATCATGTTAATTGAGTTTGTTTTCCTCACTGGAACCCAGCCAGGAGGAAGAAAAAGGCTTTTTGTGTGGCAAACAAGAAGGATGAGCCACTGCTGATCCCTCCATCCCAAACCCTCTCTCTGTCTGTTGCAAAGGGTGCACAGAGGCACAGACACATCACCAGCCTATTTCATTACCCCTTCCATGTGGGTTGGGGCAACAAGCTTCCCTCAAGGACCTACCAAAGGATTTCTTCCCCCCTCCTTGTCCAGCCTGACACCACAATCTGCTGAACACATGTGGATGAGGCTCCTTCACTGATGACAGAGCCTACATGTGTCCATCAGCCTGGCACGACCATTAGAGCCATGATTTTGGCCCCCAGGAGCCCCCTCCCACAGCCCTGCTTTCTCAGGGTCCCTCTGGCCACCCTCAAAGGGCATTTCATAGCACTCAATGTCCCATCTTGTTTGGGCACTGCCCAGCACTGGCAAGGAGATTCTGGTGTTTCTTGCTGTCCCAGGATTCCCCATCATCCTGTGTGCTCTGACATCCCTGTGCCACCCAGATGGAGGCTCACCAGCCCCCTCAGGCCCTGGAGATGCCTCCCACCCCATCCCTGCATGGAGCCAGCCCAGCCCCAAAGCCTCCACTCCCCCAGATGCTGCTCCATCCCATAGTCCCACACTCCCACCTGGTAGTGCAGGGCTCTCTGAACCAGAGGAGGAATATTTTGGCAGCAGAGGCCAGAGAGCAATTCTCTGACATTTTAGGATGCTCAGGGGCTCTCCCTCTTGCCTCAGTGGTTAACAGTGGTTATAGTGCAGGTGTAATAGTAACATATATAACACAGCATTAAGTTTCATCTCTGAACAAGGCTTAAATACTGTGGCACATCATCCTGGGCACTGGCAGAAAACTACAGGGTCTGCCCTCAGGCTCTGCTGGGTCTTGCACAATTCCACCTCTCTGGCACCCTTGTCCCCAGGCTGGGGCTTTCCGGCCTTTGGCAGACCCACAGCCAGCTCCAAGGAGCAGGGCTGTGCCTGCCTCCATGCCAAGCACTTTACTGGTCTCTCTGTGGCCCTGGGCAAGGATCTGACACATGGAGATGAATGCACAAATGCAAACACATCCTGCAGTCCCACAGCCACACACCTTGCTCCACCATCCATCATGTAAAGGGCACTGGGCTTTTGCCAGGCTATTTTCCTTGTCAGGAACAAATGTATATTAGGTTGTTAATTAAACAGCAGCCAGGCTGTACTCGAACACGATTTGAGCCCACAAGGACCTTTTAATCCAATGTGAGTTTACAAAAGCTTCCCCTGGGCTTTGTGGAGAGGCAGAAACTGCTGGCTTAGATGGGGGTTGGCAGGGCAGGCAGTGGTGCTGCAGGGTGCCCTGTGATGGAGATGAGCAATATGAGGAGGTACAGTGATATAAAGAGATTATAAAGTCAGTCCAAAAGGCTTTGCCTTTCTGGAGGGGCATTCAACCACTGCTTGGGCCTTCCATGTTGACTTTTTTGCCATCAGAGTCTTTGGAACCATTTTTAACTTCAGGCTCTCATCCCCTGAGCATTCCTCCCATGTCCCTCTGACCCTGGCTAGCAATTCCTGTCCTGACAGGAGCCCTGGACAGGTTTTTGCTGAGCACAGCCTTTCCTGGAGTACACAGGGAGTCACAGAGCCCCAGCCAGGGAAGCATCACAGGGCTCTCAGCCCAGACCCTCTCAGGATGCTCCACTTGGAGCACTGTCTTGCTCTCTCCCTCCGGACCCAGAAATAATCTTTTTCTGAACACACTTCTACTGCATCATGACTTCTCAAAGCCACTCTGTACACAGCCTTCAGTTCAGGATCCAAAAGGAAATTATTTACAATGAAAGGACAACAATGGATGGAGGAGCTCTGCCTGTGAGCACAGCTGAGGTTCTGGCTGAATGTTTTGAACAAGCAAACCAGAATATCAGGAAAAGGCAAAAGCCCAGGAACAGGTGCAGTGGAGATGTGGCTGGTCAGGTACAAGAGCTCTAACACAGCCCAGGGTGGACAACAAATCCCTGCATGGCAGCTGACAGGCCCACCAAGCCCAACGTGGAGAAGTCAAGCCCTTCCAAGGAGGTGTGATGTCCATCCAGGCCGCTGACCTCAGTATCATCCCACAATATTAGAAATACAAAAATCAAAATCAGCATCACCAATCTCTCAACACAAGGCAGAAGCCACTCCATCTTTAAAAGAGGTGCTCAGAAGAGCTGCTGGAGCAGAAAGCAGCACTGGGCTGTGTGTTTGGGGGTTTAATAGGAACTGGAGAGTCACAGACTGCCCCAGAGGGAGCTAGGAATGGCAGGTCTTGCTTTAGCACAGACCTTGCGTGGTTCCCCCAACACCAAGGTGTAAATCCCTCCAGTCTGACAAGTCCTCTTATTCCCACTCCCACCTCTCCACCATGTCCACATTTAGGAAGCCAGAAACTCTTAAAGATTTGGCAGCCCAGGGTGAGATACAGAGAGACACAGACCAGTATGGAGCAGGCCCTGTGGGGGAGACTGGGCTTAAAGAAATTTGCTCTTGGAAAACCTGAATTTCCCGGGCTCCAAGTGTACAACAAGCTGCCCAGGGGTCACATACTGAGACTCTGCTCTGGGTAAAACAGACAAGTGCCAGGCACTGCCAGCTGGCACTGCATATATCCCTCTGCAAGCATTCTTGGGACAGAGGGAGCAGTTATTTTCTCTACCTCCTCACTTAAAAGGCCTTTTTACACATCAGCAACACAATGTGTTTATCCTTACGGGAGCTGTAAAAGATTACAAAGCACTTGGAAAGGTGAACTCATCCCTGCCCACGGTGCTGCAAGCAGGCTTGGGGCAGGAGCACTTAGAGGGTCAGAGGAGCTGGGAAAACACAGAGCAGTTATCAGGAGTGTTGGGTTAGATTCAAAGCACCACAAACAAAGAAAAGTAACAGCAGGGAGGACAGGGGTAGGAGTCTTACAGAGAGAAGCCATAATGTTGTGGGGCACACTGACGTGCGAGCAGAGAGGGGGAAGAAGGGGGTCCGGGGGTCCCAGCTTCCCTGGTCCCTGGGCAGCACTCACCCTCTGCTGACAATGAGGCGCAGCGCGTCCAGGTTGCCGTGGTAGGCGGCCCATAGGGTCGGGGTCATGCCATCCTCATCGGGCGAGTTCAGGTCCTTCTTGGTGGCTTCCTTCAGCAGGTCCAGGTAGCCGTCCCGGGCGGCTCGGTGGTACTGGTCATTCATGGTGCCAAGGGGTGCCCGCGCCAGCACATGGGTGCCCAGGGGGCCCGGAGCATGGGCACGGGCTGGGGCAGCTGCCGGGAGGGCCGCGCTGGCCTCGCACAGCTCCGCGCACCGGGACACCTGAGAAGTCCTGGCCGGGAGGCAGGAGCGGCTCCGAGCCCAGCCAGGCGGGCTCCACAGCGCTTCCCCTGGGTCCTAAGCATCCTCCGGCCCGGCGGCTCCTTGGAACGCGCACCAGCTCCACGGCACATTAAAAGCTCCAATTAAGCAGCATCGCTCTGCTGGGCTCAGCGCGGGTCACACAGCAGCGATTCACCGGGTTTATGTGTCCCCGGAGCAGAGCAGGCTGTCAGACAGGCTGCTGGGTTTATCCTGCCCAATATGCCCCTGTTCCACAGCTACCCCATCTCAAGCAAGGGGCAGCAGTAGCCACAGGAGGAAGAGGGGGTCAGAAGAGCACAAACCCCCAGGGCCTCCACTCACAGCCCTGTCAGAGCGGGGACCTGGATGGATAATCCTGCTCTGTGTGGAGTTGGCTGAGAGCAGCTTGGTGACTGATTTCAAAGTAATACCAGGGGTGTTCACAACTCAGCTTTTCCTCACTTAAAACAAAACAAAACCAAAATCAAAACAAACCCCAAAGCAAAACACCAAACATTTATTTATTTGTTTATATCTCTCCCTAGTGTCACTAGGAAGACAACAGCAGACTCAGTCATCATCCCTATCCCCCCAGTCTACCCTGCCCATACCCACAGAATTCTGCTTCCCAAGGAACTGCACAACAAACTGTGCAACAGGAATCTGATAAACCAAGGAAACTCGTAAGGGCCGGAAACATTCCCTTTCTCGTCTCTTTTCCCTCTCTGGAGAATTAAACCCCCCCCAAACCCTGTGTGTAACTGGGTACTTCACTGCGGTGTGCAGTGGGTGCAGTGTCCGGCCTCTGGTGTCTTTTATGCTGACACAGAATTCCCGGCTGCTGAACCCTGGGGGAGTTGGACAGCCCCAGGAAGCGTCTCCAGCGCAGCGTTCCCGGTTCCCGGGCACCCTCTGCTGTCCGAAAGATGGAGCCAAGCCTGGGTGTTGGCAGAAGCACGAAGCTGGCCCAATACATTACACCCAAGGGTGAATCGGTGGATTTCTGTATCCCCTGGGACATGCTGACGTGGAGGAGGAATTTCCTGCTACTCTCTTGTTCATTTTACCTGTAATGCCCTGACCCTGGGAAAGGAGATCTCCAGGGCGGGACTCTGAGTGTGTCACCATGGCCCTGGGACAGGCACAGGGCTTGGAGAGGGTGGACAGAGCCATCGGATGGGTGAGAAATGGGAGGAGAGTCGAAAACTGGGGAAAGAGTGTAAGACATCATCGGGGGGCTTGGAGGGAACGAGCAGAGAGGAAGGAAATGAGAAAGGCAGCTTATTTTTGTAAGGGAAAAAAAAAAATGCTCCAAGACAGGAGGGTGGCCCTAAAGCAGTGCCAGGTGCACCCACGCAAGCTGCAGTGATTAATCCCTGGGTGGCTGACACAGCATCAGCCTGAGGACACCTGGAAGTGCATCAGAGCCAGAGCCTGCGGGGTTTGCTCACCTCAACAGGTTCATTTGCACCAGCTCAGCCTCCCTGGGCAAGGCCTGATGGGATGCAGAAGCCACTGAGGCTTTTGATGCTGGGATCCTTGCGGTGAAAAGCAGCACAGTAACGTCTGCAATTCATTACCGACGTTATTTCACGATTCTTGTATTGTTACTAATTAAATTTGTTGCGTTGTACGGTGGCTGCCGGGGGGACTGGGAGCATTGCCCGAGGCAGAGAACACTCTTTCCTCTATTGCTGGCTGGGAAGGACAAAAGAAGCACGGTAAACCAGCGCCTTTAGCCCGAGGGGCCTCTGAACCTTTGGCCTCTGCAAAACATCACGATCAGCTGGGATTTACTTGTGGGAGGCCTGGGCTTCCCCTGGGAAAGGCTGCAGGCTGAGAGGAGATCAGCCACTCACCCCAAAAGGAATCCCCATGGCTCAGCAGAGGCCCGGCAGGGCAGAGCTGGTGCAGCTGGTGGCAGCAGGGCAGGGACACAGGGGCTGGCCCTGGGCTGGGCAGTGCATCTGGAGCTCTCCTTCCCCATCACAGTCCAGTTTGCTGTCCTGCACTGGGCCAAGAAGGACACAAGCAGGCAGGAACGGGACTGAGAAAACACACAGCAAATGGCCCCAGCTCTGTGCTTGCCCTGAAGGGGGAAAGCAGCAGAGACATCTCCAAATGAGGCATCTCAAGGACTAAAACTTGTCCCCATCCACCCAGAACTGCCATGGGACTCCTATAGCTCCCGCACAAAACATAACTGGGTGAAAGGGACCTTGAGCAGAAACTTCCCTTACCAGACAAAGGTTTGAATCATCCCTGCCCTGTGGTTTATGACATGGTTACTCCTTGGAAGGAGAGGAATTAAGGTCCTGAGGAAGGTTATCCTACCCTGAAAGATCAAAGGCACTGCGTCAGCAAAGGAGACCACAAATCCCAGTCCCCAAATCCTGACCTTCTCTAGTGCTAAACCTTCCTCGTTGATGACAGCATAGCTGGGAAAGGATTAAGTTACTGTGGCACTGAACAGGTACAAATGCAAATTTCTTCCTTTTCCTCAAGAACCTTCGAGGCATGGAGTGGACTGATTTGAATAGCACAGGGTGGGGCACAGTGTTTATTCTGCTCCAGTGAGCGGAAAGCCAAGCACAAAATCATCACCAAAGACAAGTTCATCACCTAAACCATCTCCTCTCAGGGGAAGAGACCTCATGCATGTAGGGAGATGGATTTGGTGGGGTGGCCTTGCTCTGTGGTGGCCATGACCCTGTGACCGAGCAGTCCATGCCATGCTTAGTGGTGTTGTCAACTCATGCTCTTGCTAGGTAAATAACCCTTATCTCCTCATCTCTTTCCAGCTTCCCCAAAATCAGCTATTGCACAAAATGGATCACATGAGTTTCTCTGAGAAGCCCACAAAGCCCTGCTGTCAGCTCCAGATATGGTATAAATCACAGAGACGTCCCAACAGGTATAAATTCTTCAACTGACCAAGCTGCAGCAACAGGGAAACTTCTCAGCCTGGCAGGAGCAGAGATTTGGATCCCAGGCAGCAAAACAGGTTGGTGGAATGGCTTTGTTTGAATGGTTGATTCACTTTATTTCAGGCTTTTCACTGAGAATGAATGAAATGCCAAACTTGGCACAGGCAAGGGGCTTCAGAGGGCGTGACAACTCAAGTATTTCACACCCTTCCTGCAGGAACTGCTACAAATTATGATGTGATAGTCCAAAAATTTTCGGGGGTTTCTTACCTTTTGGAGGCCTGTTCTTCAGCAAGGAAGTATAACAATTTTTCAGAATATTTAGTGTGTGACATTTAGAATTTAAACCACACTGGCTGTTTGCCCCAGGGTATTTGATCCTGTGAGCGCTTTTTGGTGCTTTTCCAATTCTCACATCAATAAACACGTAAATGTGGTGTGACACGTCATTAAACGGACCTGGGATCTTCCCGAGCAAGAGCATCTGAAGTAAAAAAGTCGTCAGGGAACCAGGAAAGGGAAAGTTTAAAAATCAGCTCACACTTCTTCTTGCGCTCCCTGTCTCTGCAATACATCCTGTGCTGCTCATCACGTGTCCTGGGCTGTTCCAAATGCACCTCTCACTCACGGGCCTCTCTTCTTAACAGCTCTGACCCTCAGGCAGAGCCTTGGCTGAGCCATGACCGAGGAGCCCGGGCAGAAGGACAGCGAGCTCGGACACCTCCCCTGCAGCATGGGCTGCGGGCACAAGGACGACAAAGCCGGCCTGGCTTTGAGCCAGAGTGCGTCCTTCAGCCACCAGCCGCCCTCCACTCCTGCCTCCAAGGAAGTGTGGAAGAAGGGTGGCCGCATGTTCTCCATCCTGCTGGCCGTGCACCTGGCCCTGCTGGCCTGCACGCTGGTGAGCAGCGGCGCTTTCGAGAAGATCGCCGTGCACGACTACGACGTCTTCTTCCTGCTGACAGTCATGATGCTGATTGTCATCATCTGGATCATCTTCTACCTCGCCGGCACCTCCCGGTGCCCCGGTGCCATCCTGGGCAAGGACTCCCATGCCGGGCCCATCTGGCTGAGAGGTAGGTGCTGGGGCTGGAGGGGAGATACAAATTCTAGTCCCTAAATCCTGCCCTTCTCTAGTGCTAGAGATGGACAGTTCCTGGGAGCATCTGTATTACAAGGGAAGCAGCAAAGATCTGGGCACAGCCTCTTCCTGCTGATGGACTGGGGCATGGCGCCATGCCCTGCCTCAGGTCAGCTCCTGGTCCTTGCACTGGCCTTCACTGCCAGGTCTCCCTGAATCCACAAAGGCTCTTGGCAACTTACACCAGGATCTCTTCTGCTGCTTTTGCAAGAGCTGTTAGCGCCAGCATACCAGGCTGATTGAAAATCAGTTCCAGCTAAAATTATTGTATGATTTTGTTGCTGCCAAGATAATTTGGGTGCTGGGAGAGGAAAAACATCAGTAGAAGCCAAGCCTCTTCATGACAACATTTCCTCTTCTTCCTCTCATCCATCTGCATTAGCCCATATGCACACATCTGTCCAACCACAGATAATTTTGTTCCCCAACAGGAGGCCTGATCCTATTTGCCATTTTCAGCCTTGTCATGGATGTGTTCAAAATAGGATATTACTCGAGCTTCTACAGCTGCCTGTCTGCAATCAAAATCATCTACCCCATTGTGCAGGCAATATTTGTGGTGGTGCAGGTGAGATGGTTGTGCTCTGTCTTGGGCAGCGGTAGAGAGACACAGGCACCAGTGGAAGGAGCTCTGATCTCTTGGATTTAGTTCAACTGCCCCCCACAGCAAATGCAAGGCCTTAACTCAGCCCCCACCCAGCCCACATCTTCTCCCTCCAACAGCTTCCATCTATGGCAACTCAACTCACTCTATGGCAGCGATTTAAACTTGTTGGCATTTTTGTCACAAACTCTGAAAAGCCCCCAGCCAGCCAGGCCTCCTTGCCCATGAAGAACAGAGGGGGAGAAGGGCAATCAAGGCAGGGGCTACCTTGCAGTTTGAGGGGCCACAGAGAGGACCCCCTGCTCTGGGACAATGCCAAGGAGGGAAGAGATCAGAGAGGGACAATTTAGACAGAACAAGGATTGGCCATGGGCAGAGCAATGGCAGTGAGAGCAAAGAACCTCCAGCAGAGGGCCAGCATCATGAGTTGTGAGGCTGAGCCCAGATGGACCCAAGCAAAAGAGGCTCCAGCTTGTTCTCGGCTCTGCAGGGAGATCCCTCCTTCAGAGCGGTCCTTTGCTTTCTTGTTTTGCTGGGAGTAACAACTCCTTTTCTCTTCCCTGCAGACATATTTCCTGTGGGTCTCTGCCAAAGACTGCATCCACGTGCACCTGAACGTTACCAGGTGAGCACAGCTGCTCCTTGAATCCCACTGGGTGTTCTGTACTCTCTCATACAGCTAATGTGTAACCAGGGGATAATCCCTTAATGCTGCCCAAAACGAAACCTGCTCAATCTCCAGCTAAACTTAGATCCCAGCTCAAGCAGCTGTGGTTAATGACCTGTAGATATATCAGGGTTGGGATTCAATTAAAGAATACAAGCATTACTCAAAGCAGATAGTATTAAATAAATAATTATCATTAAATAATGATTCATAGTTGACTTTTTCTTCCCTGGGGAAGATAACTATGCAGTGGGCAAGACTCAGGCTAAAATGAGATCTTGTCCACTTTTGCAAGACTGGATCTGCTGGAGACCAGTTCAGATATTTTAATTTATTCACTATTGAGAAACTCTTTCAAAAGCAACAATGCGAATCAAGCCTTGCTAATTCTCATGAGCATTGACAAAAAACAGGAAGAGGCAGTGAGGGCAGCAAAGAAAGGATCAATATTTCTAGCCAGGGCCATTGGAGTCCTCACACCACTTCAGGCAGATGCCACAGTCCCAAATCATGGATGGGAGAAACATGGGCTAGAGCCACTGCTTTAATGTCACAAACCTTCTCCTCCTCCTGCAGATGTGGCTTGATGCTGACGCTGACTACAAACCTGGCTGTGTGGATGTCAGCAGTGACAGATGAGTCTGTCCACAAGGCACATTCAAAGCTGAAGAAAAACATGACAGAGGAAATCTTCAGGTGGCTCCTGAAAGGTAATCTGCCTCTTTGCGAAGCCATCTGGTCCAGGGAGAGATCCCACCAGGTAGAAATTGTTCCCTAGCAAATCAGATTTTATCCCTTTTCAGAAGGTCTGTTTAGAGCTGGAGGTACCTTTGTCAGGGCTGATTTGTTAAAAGCCAAGTATGGATGCTCATTTCCTAACCTCTGTCAGAGGTTCATTTCCTAACCTCTGTCAGACAGGAGTCAGAGAGGTGGAAGACCCTGTACAAATGGGATGGGATTGAAGAAGGGAAGGAAAAAGAAAGATTTAACCTAACAGTTAACGTTTTAAGAAAGAACCTGGGCACAAGAAAGCTGAGGGTGAAGTGTCCTTGTTTTTAAAGTGGTCACATATTCTTTTGTTCTTTGTTTTGATTTTCACTGACCCCAAACATCCAATTCTTCAGGGAGAAGTGTTGTTCCTTGTTTTAATACCATGGCACCTGTCTGGTTTTGTCTTGTTTCAGTGGGAATGAGAAGCAGCTCAGTTGAAGAATGCAATTGCAACAGCCAAATCTGCCAGATCTTCAAAAATGGCTACTTTTGGCTGTACCCTTTTAACATTGAGTACAGTCTCTTTGCCTCTGCCATGGTCTATGTCATGTGGAAGAACGTTGGACGCTTCATAGACCACCACTCCCACCACATTCAGCGCCTGAAGTTCAGGCTCTTCCGAAGGACCTTCTTTGTAGGCATCATGTTGGGCCTCATCATCCTCGTGAGTGGTTTGGGAGTCCTCATCCTGTACGAGGTGCAGGTAAATTCCAGCACTGAATCCAGCAAGAAGAGCCAAGCACTCACCATGTACTACATCTTCAACATTGTTTGTCTGAGCCTGATGTCTCTTGTCTGCATCGGCGGCTCCGTCATCTACCGGTTTGACAAGAGGGACATGGACCGGCACAAGAACCCCACCAGGACCCTGGACGTGGCCCTGCTCATGGGGGCAGCCTTGGGGCAATATGCCATTTCCTACTACTCCATTGTGGCCATCGTGGCCAGCACGCCAAGGGACACTATCAGCGCACTCAACCTCACCTACGCCCTCCTCATGATCGCCCAGCACACCTTCCAGAACGTCTTCATCATCGAGGGCCTCCACCGGCAGCCCCCCAAGGAGGACTGCAAGCACGAGTCTCACCAGAAGGACCTCTACGGGCTCACCTTTGTGAACATCAACGCCGTGTCCCTGCGGGTGCCCGACACTGGCACCACCTTGGCTGCCAGCGCAGCAGCTGGCACGGAAGCCATGCACGCTTCTGACCTCATCAGGTCCCTCACTGCCCCCAAGAAGATGAACTGGAGGAGGAAGTTCTTGAGGGAGATCTCCATGTTCCTGCTGCTGAGCAATATCATAGTGAGTACATGCAGGGAGAAGAGTTTGTGGGGAAGGAGAGGGCTACAAGCACAGGGGAGAAGGGTCTGTGAAGGAAAAGGTGTGGCCTATGGAAAAGCAGTCTTTTATGTGCCTCTGCTGTACAGAAAGTACATTAGTTATATTTATAAATGCAGAATTCTGATTCCCTTGTCCCCTAAAAAAACAAAGTGACTGCCCTGAAATTAAGACATTTCAGGCTAGATCAACAGACCCGTCACCACCAGAATATCAGACACAGGAGGTGGATGCAAGAGAATAATCAGTTTCAGTATTTTTATTGTGCATTAGTGGATGTGGGATAGATTACATTATTAAATTATATTAAACCATTCCCTTCACCCCCCAAAGAAGGGATGTAAAGTGACAAATATCTGGGGTGAAGTCTGGGTTTTCTTGAGACATGGCAGCACATCTCGAAACCCATGGCCTAGGAGTTTGCTCCTTTCATGGGAAGCTGTGACTGCAGGCCCCTGATGCAGCACACACCTTTCTCACACAGTGCTGCTCTCCCATTTCCTCCCACAGCTCTGGATCATGCCAGCGTTCGGTGCCCGGCCCCAGTTTGACAATGACACAGAACTGAACTTCTATGGCGATTCCATGTGGCCGGCCATCGTGGACATTTGCCTGCCCTTTGGCATCTTCTACCGAATGCACGCCGTGGCCAGCCTGCTGGAGGTCTACATCATGTCCTAAAGAGCTCCCTCGCAAGGAAGATGAGATCCTCCTCAAGCAATCCACCTTCTTCCTGCCCCAGGGCTGGGAGCTGCCCAGATGTCCCCAGGGGTCCCCAACACTGCCTGAATCGTGTCCCCTTGCAGTGTTGGGGCATTTATGAACTGTCAGTGAAGATGATCCAAACATAGTCCAGATTTTATTTTTGCTACTTGTGTGTGGATGTGCCTGTGTGTGTCTGAAGTTCTTAAAGCTTAAAAGAGAACAGATTTTTAAAAAGGAAGTTATCTAGGGTGGGATCGTGGTGATTACCCTTGGTTCACACAGAGACTCACCTTCCTTGTAAAGCCTGTTCACTCCATGCCACTGATGGACTCTCCAGAGTGTTCTCAGCACCCTCGGGCAGTCAGAGCCTCCCTGCACAGAGAGCTGGAGAGAGCAAGGGCTGACAAAGGCCTGGAAGGACAGAAAGGGAAACCACTTCACCTCCTCGTATGGCCAGTCGGAAATCACTCCCCTGCAGAGATGTGAAAAACAAACTGGTGACCACCAAAGGCTTTGGGAAACATTTTAATCTTTCCTCTCTGTATTGCCCATGTGTATGGGCCCTCTCAACACTTCTCTGTGCCAGCCCGTGCCCTCCTCTCCAGGAAGCTTCCCTGCAGCCTCCTCTTCCCAAGGAGGGAGAGCTGTGCCTGTGGTCCTGGGCTAGCCCTGATATGGGATTGCTCTAGCACACTTTTTTTTCTCAGCTTTCCTGAATCAGGGCTCAAGAATCATAAAGATGATGTGGGCAATACAGTCTGGGGGATAATAAAGAGATTTTTCTTTTTTTCTTTTTTCTTTTCTTTTTTCTTTTCTTTTTTCTTTTTTTAAATACATAATGATTTTTTAAAAAAATATATGAACATTTTTGTATGCAAAGTTATTTATTGATTTTCACTGTAACTGAACTCCTGAAGGGACACTATGACACAGAAATCAATGCAATGCTGATGCCAGTTTGATCTCCAGCACCTTGAAGGGATTGCTGGTGCTGGATCCTCAAGCCTGTGTGTGCTTTGAGGCTTAGAGTACAGCCCTGCACCCCGACCCTGTGGCCCTGGCTCAGGTTTCTGGGTGCCTGCAGCTCTCCACGAACCACGGAATGATTGAGGGGGCTTTCAGAGCACGAGTCCTGGGCTGCAGGAGTAGAAACAGGCCTCTCTGCTGTACCCAGCATCCAGGCAGAGCCTCAGAAAGCCCCCTCTGCCAGGACAGGAGGGTACATGTCAAACTGGCACAGCTGAGCTCTGTTTGCATCCTGAGAAATCAGGGTTTAGCCATTCTAATAAAGGCTTCATTGTTCCATCAGGGTTTATCGTTCCAATAAAAAACACTGCAGAGGTGGCAGAAACCATCAAGCCTTTTCCCATGGACGTTTGCACATCCACCAAAGAAAAAATAATAAATGGAAGTCACGGGACTTGAAATGGAGTGATGCAATTTTCCACCCTACAGACCAGGCTGACGTGTTTCCAGCCACCTTCCCCTCCAAGTCCAGATCACCAAACCAGCAAGGACCAGTGCCTCTGGCTGGTGTGACACCAGTGTTCCTGTCTGCCAGCAGCCTTCCTCTGAACTGGGTAGGACATGGGGGAAAGCCCAACCTCCCCTGCCCTCAGAGGGCCGCACTGATCCAGCATCTCCACTTGGGTCACTCCTTTCCCTCACCAGCCCGGGAGTCTTCCCAAGCCCAACTGACCCTCCAAAGGCCTGGTTCTATTTTTACTGTTGATCTGGTAAAGATAAAATCTTCCTCTAGAAACCTTACCTTTCCTAAAACAAAAGCCTCATTATTCTGTGGCTCCTGCAGTTGAAATTAAGTCAGAGAAGAGACGCAAACAGTGCAGACGTCAGTCCTTCTTACGGCTTCACACATTGTTTGAGCCCAAGCTGCTGAGCACACACAGGGGCAAAAAACACTTTTAATCACCCAGTCTGTTCCCAGGGGGCACACCAGGATTCCTCCTATGTGTTCTTGCTGGTTCCTGCTCCCAGGTTCCCAGGAATGGGTGCCCTGGGTCAAGCAGGGCACACTCTGAACTGTTCTTCTGGGCAGCTGCTGTAGGGGCACTTCTGGGGCCAAACAGATTCAGGATGGATGTGAGGAGAATCCCCCAACAACTCAAGCAGCTCTGATACAGGCAATAATCCCAAATCAACTTCTCCAGGGCGGTGGGTCAGCTGGAACCACAACTCTCAATCACAGTCCTGTTGGGATAAACCAAAACACTCTGGGGATCCACAGGGATCCCTGGCTAACCTGAGGTGTCTCCAGGCTGCAAGCACAGGGATGGCAGGAGCTTCCAACCAAGGGCTGAATTCTTCTTCTGCCCTCCAGCCACAAACATGTACCTTGGGAAAAGCAGTAGATTGGGAAAGAGCTCGTGAACCCCAGCTATATACCAAAAAAAGGGGTATATAAATATAGGGGGGTATATATATAGCCAGAGGGAAAGTGAGCACAAATGCAAAGAAGAAAAAAAAGAAGAAGCCTAAAAATCTAAACCCTAAGAAAACTCTGCTGTAAACCCTCTTGTGTGCTCAAGGATACCAGAAGGTATCAGCTCACAGTCAGTTACTGTGCAAAGGGGTGTGCTCCAGGGCTGATGGAGAATCATCCAAATGTTCTGGGCGATTCCTTGGCACATTCAGTCTCCCAGGTGTGTCACCCAAACCCAGGCACAGCCCTGGAGCAGGCACTGCCACATGCTAAGTGCACAAATCCATGCCTTTCCTTGGAGTTGCTCTCTGGCAGGTGACACAGCAGGTGACACTGCTGCTGGCTGCTCCATCAGTGCCCCTTTCCCCTCAGAGCTGGGACACAGCTCCTCACAGCCTACTCAAAGAGCAGGATGCATCTTCTTGAGGAAGGGTTTGGTGGAAGGGGAGGACACCACAAACACAGTACCCAAGTTATGGAAGGGATCACGCTTGGCCCTTTGTACACACATCCTCAAGTCAGATCCCTGCAGAAAAGCACTGCTGGTAGCTCCATCTTCCTGCCTGGGAGGAGGGAAACTGAGGCACAGGAGGTGGCTGAGCAGAGAGCCTGTCAGAGCAGAGAACGAGGCTGGGCCCCAAAGCCACCAGCAGCATCTTGCTAACTGCTCCTGCCAGAGCATCCTTATGGAGCAGGGATTCCATTCCCATTAAGGGATGGGGAGCCAGGACAGAGATGTGCCTCAGGGTGACTGTTTAAATGGCAGTCACTGCAAATGAAGAGCTACAGGAAAGCAATGGACTGCCATGGGGTGCACCAGGTCCTCACAGGAGCTTCCAGATTTGCCCACTTTGGTATAAAATCCACTTTGGCCTCCCAGGGATTTGAGCAACTGCTGTGCTGCAGAGGTTTGGTGGAACCCCAAACCCCACAAACAAAAATTACTCCCCATGGGTTGGCAGGGTTTAGAGCTCAGCACTGCTTGAGCTCGGCTGCTCCAGTCCCAAGACCTGAGACACCATGTGAGAGTCAAAAAGGTCTCAATTCAGACCCTGGCCTGACGGACCCTTACCAGAGCCAGCAAGGGCGAGCAGCAAGAGAGGGAAGAGAGGAAGAGCAGGAGATCAGAAATCATTGCTCAGAAAAGAGCAGGGAAGGCCATAGCCAGGGTCAGGCCTGAAGCATCATCCCACCCCATCTGGGTTTTGCATCCTCTCCTCTGCTTCTTAATCATCTGTTATTTGAGGGCGAGATTTGTTTTATTAGGGGAAAAAACCCAAAACAAAACACTATTTATCTAGGTGGTTTGCTCTGAGGTGTGTCCCAGACGGGAGGAATCTGAGTTAATTATTATCTGTCAGTGCAGTAGATGGAAAGGGGATGGATTGAGAAGGTCACAAGGCTGGAGATGAGGGATGGGATTGCAGCACTAGGTGCCTGTGAGCAGGACTGGCTCCAGCAGTGTGCTGAGAGCCAAGTCAGGAGGTGGTGGCAGAGGAGGCATTTCCCAGTGGTCCTTAGCAGTGAGGAGGAACTCAGTGCAGGTAGGAGGTCAAAAGGACCTGGACCAAGATAGAGCAGGGAAGATAGAGACCCACTCACAAGGGGAGCCAGGCCGTACCCCCAGAACCCATGGAGGGGATGGAGGGGCAGAGCTGGGCAGTGCAGCACAGCTCACCCTCACCCACGCTGGCTGGAGCTGCTCTTTGCAGTGACCCCAGACGCCTCTCACTCCCAGCCCCAAGGAGACGTCACGGCCGTGGTTATCAGTGCCAAAGGAAGGGCGTGGGCCGGCCGGGGAGATGTGAGGAGCCCCGCGTTCCTCAGGTGGCCTTTGGGCAAACACGGTGGCTGGGCACGGAGCTCCTTCCTCCCAGGCCCTGTTTACTGACCTGCTGGGCCTGGCCTGGCTGTTATCACTGCTGAGTGCACAGATAGCACCATTAATAAGCACACTGCTGATAGCAGGGGGGCAAACACTGCTCCAAACGTTTACCAGCTTTCTCCCAGCCTGCGAGCAGAGGCAGCTTCTCCGGGGCAGTGATTCCTGTGATCGATCCAGTGACTTGGACTCACCTTCTTCCCTGCACACTTGCTTACTTAATGGTTTACTTAAACTTTACTTAAACTTTACTTAAACTTTACTTAAACAGTAAAATAGCTGCTCTTCTTCAAATTAAGGACCAAATAAGGATTCACCCATCTCCCAGAGCTTTAAAACTCCTCTGGGTTCAATTTCAGCTCCAAAGCCAAGATAGGGCAAGTCAGGCTAGGAAGGATGCCTCATCTTTGCAACACAGATACCCAGTCCCATTGACAAAATTACTGAATCACAGCAGGCACCAGCATTTTATTTCAGACCAATCTTTGAAGGAAAAACCTCCAGTTTCAGCCAAACTTTAGGATACATCCGGACTCATGGCGTCCATTTCCTACTTCTGTATGGCTACCCCAATTTAGGATCATAGCACTGAAAAAGATTAGATTTGTTAATGACTTGCACAGAAATAGTTGGCTTTGGCCAACAGAGGCCACCAAATGGCTCTTGGGATATCCCAGTTCCCTGCTGATCTCTGGAACAGATCCTGGAAAAGAGCCAGGCCCCTGAAAGAGCTCAATTGCACTCAGGGGATCTCAAAACATGAAAGCAAGGACATCCAAGTAGGCCATCCAGACAGGCTGGAGATGCTGATGCTTTGGGGGAAGGCAGAACAAATCCAAGCATGGGTATTCATGAACACCTGCCCAGACTGGAGCACCTGGGCTCCAGCACAGCACTGCAAGGGCTTGGTCAGACATTAAACATGACCTTTTGCAGGCAGACATCAAACAATGGCTGCACCAGCACACACCGGGTGTTCTCACCCAGCAGAAATGGGGCCCTTTCAGCCTGGTTTTCCACCCCTTTCGTCACATCCCCACACACACGATAACCTGTGCTCCCCCAACCACTCCTACCCCTAATCAGCTTCTTGGGAATTATTTCATGGCTCTGAACTCCCAGCTCATGTGTTTGCCAGCTGTAAGGACCTCAGGGCTTGGGGGGTCATCCTGGGACACACAATTAAGTCCTCTCCTGCCAAGATGGACCTTTAAATTCACCAGCTCAGAAATGCTGAATCCCTCCTGCCAGCCACAAAACCTGGGGCATCAGCTCACCACAGAGTCCCAAGTGAGAATCAGTTTGTCCTGCAAAAAGAGAGGGATCAAGAATAGCACAGGTTGGACCTAAAGCATGCCTGACCACACTTGGCCAAGACTGTGGGGCTGGCACATGTGGGTCTCACTCTGAAATCAGCATTAGTAGGTTGTAGTTATCACCCTCAAAAGCAGCACCTTTCTGCCAAAAAGGCATCAAATTGGTGTCATTCCTGCACCAGTGCAGGGGTGGACTGCGAGCTTTACCTTTTGGGTAAGATGTGTCCCCTGGATAAAAGCAAAAAGAAATTGTACGCGTGAGGGAAAAAATATCTTAGGATCTACCTAAAAAACAAGGGAGTGGGGAACTCAAATGGGTTTTGGCTGAAGCAGTGTGGGTAAGCACTCCCAACACAAGCCTGTGCCAGGAGATTAGCTCTACACCTGCCTGAGCCATGGCACAAATTAGTCACCACCGTTGTGGTTTTACCAGTTGGCAGAGGTGTTGGTGTGAGGCAACACAGCAGGTGCATAAAGGAGCTGCTCCCCATTGGCTGCCTGTGGCAGATCTGAGAGCTTCCCACTGAGTAATTAATGAAATGACAATAATAGACACAAAGTAAACAAGGTGGAAAGAAAATAAATCAATGGGCTCGGAGCAGAGGCTGCATTTAGTGAGGAGCAGCCCTGACGGCTCCTGTCTGCACCTTGGGCTGTCGGAGTCTCTCCCGTGCATCCTGGTGCCATTCCAGCCACCGGCTTCAGATCGGCTGCGCCCGAGGCTGGGCCGGCTCCTCGGGCAGGTAAGGGCTGGGCTGGGCTGGGCTGCTCCCCACAGCACAGCACAGCACAGGGGTCAGGGGCTCAGCTCCCTCTGTGGGCAGTCCTGTCTGGGCACTTGGGTGCCTCCTGGTGCAGCCTGAACGGGCTTCCTGCTGATGTTGTGGCCTCTGAGCTCCCTTTGGAGCACTATGGTCCTAGAAGAGAGGAGGGAGTTTGCCCCTCTGCTACCAAGTTAGGAGAATTTTGGAGAAAAATGGGGAAGAGTTTAGGATCAATCTCCACCAAGAGATGTGCCAAGGAACTCAGGGCTTGGGGGTTCATTCTGGGACACACAAATTATTCTTGTCCTTCCATGGAGAGGTCCATCCTCTCCTAATGAACCCTCTAAACTCACCAACTTATAAAGAAATGCTGAATCTCTGCTGCCAGCCACAAAACCCAGAGGAGAAAGGAGGAGGCTCTCCATTTCGAGGTCCCATAAGGAACAATTCATTCCAGGCAAAGGGAGCAGGACAAAAAGCCCCTTGCTCTATTGTGCAAGGGGTTTTGCGCAGATACAAGTCAGGGGGTGGATACAAACAGCTAACTAACAGGGAATCCTCAGGGGAGCACTGAGGGGATTCCATCAGTGTCTGGGGCCACTTGGGGCAGGAGGGGGGAGACGATGGGCCCCATGGGCACATGGGGCTTCCAGGAGTAGGGGGATTCCAGAGGGGTGTTCAGACATGGATTGGCCCGAGGTTTGAGTGGTAGGGAAGGTTCGGGAACAAAAGGGGCTGGGTTGCCTTGCCAGGCAGGGAAAGAGCTGGAACAAGGGCGGGGAATGGCATGAGGGACGGCTGTGAGGGAGGGTAAAACCCAGGGGTAAACCAACTCAGGGAGAACAGGGGGGTACAACAGAACAAAACACTCAACAAGGAATCAATAAAATAAATTCGAACGGCAACACTTCACTACAACCAGAGCCACGCTCTGGAATGAAAGCATCTTTCCATGTACCAAATCTATAGAGAGGCTGATGTTGCCTGATTGCTTTATGTCAGCAAGATTTCCCTCTCGAGAGCAGTACAGCCCCACCAAGATTTTACCGGCAGGTGGATGGAAAAGCTCCCCGGCTCTGACTGTCAGCCTAGGCCCATCCCTCCGGCTCCTCCGTGTCAGTGTCCTCACGGCCTTGTGCTACAAGGGGCAAAACAAAGAAAAACAGGTACTGATTTTTTCCCAGTCTCAGCCCACCTGGGTGGGAGTTTGGATCTTCTCCCAGCAGTTTATTCCAAGCTTTACAGATCCTTTGTTTATTCTCTCCAACTCTGCCACAATTTGTGTGACCATTCAGGGAGCCTGTAACTCTCAGAGTGCACAAACAAAAGGAAGAGGTTGGACCCATCGACTGAAAATCAAACAGCTCTGAATTTCAAAGCAGGTCTAAGCTTGCTCTTCATTTCCAGCTAATCCTTACGACAACAAAGGGTAGGGAGAAAACCTGAACCCAGGGCTGGAGAAGCTGTGAAAGGTGAGGGTGGGAATGGTTTGAGCACCTCTGGTCCCAGCAGCTCCTGGTACTGTGGGGCAGGTACAGGTATCAGACACCCACTTCAATCCCGTGTCTCTGGACAGGTTTTGGCAGAAGGGCCTTTCCCCAGTGCCCTGCAATGACTCTGTCCACTGGGAAAGTTTTAATGCCTAACCTGGGCTAAAAACCAATCTCCTTTTCCCCTTCATCCGGCTTCTGGAGAAGGAAGGAAAAGCTGCAAAGCAAGGAAGGGAGGTCACCACACAGTGAAGTGGCCTTCACAGCAGAGCATACAGCCTCCCATCTCAGCACATCCCCCCTTTAAACCTCCCCTGTTTTCAATGCAGCAGGTGATCCCCAGGCAGATGAGCCATGTCTGACAAGAAAGTCTCCAAGCCCTGCCATCACTGCAAGAGCAGATCAGCATCAGTCCCAGCAGACACCACCACGATCCACTATGAGAAGTTCTGGCTGTACCGTCACTGCTCCTCATTGGAGCAGAGCCACCGGCAAGCTCAGAAGGCTGGGCAGCTCTTCTCAGGGCTGCTGGCCATGAACGTGGTGTTTCTGGGCAGCGCCTTCATCAGCAGCATGATCTTCAACAGGGTGGCCATCACTCTGGCAGATGTCTGGATCCTGCTCTCAGTCCTCAAGGTCTTGTGCGTGTTCTGGATTATTTACTACCTGATGGGCACCAGCCGGAAGCCACACGCCGTGCTCTACAGGGACACCCACGCCGGACACATCTGGGTTAGGGGTAAGTTCTGCTTTTATTTTTTCTCTCATGCCTTCTTCCAAAGGCTTGGAAGGCAAAGAAATTCTCCCCCTGTTACTAGAAGAGCTAGAAGCTGTAGGATATGCAGTTAGGGCATTGGGAAATTCCCAGTTCTTGTCAGGCTGATGGGCACAGTGGGTGCCACAGAGTGGAAGCAGAGCAGCCAGGAAAGCCTGAAACTCGGCTTCCCTTCAGCCTCCAGTCAAACTTTGCTCTCTGGTCCCTTCACAAAGAGAAATCTAGGCATAACCCCTTTCCAGGGCAGCAACTGAGCACTGTGGGAAAAACCATAGGAAAGGTTTTAGGCAGGATCACTTTGAGAAGTGTGTTTATCCAAGAGCACCAGTGGCCCTATGTCACCATCATTCTCATTTAACATCACCGCAGCCTTGTTGCCAGGGAAGGATTCTTACCCATTGAGTCACATCCCAGTGACACCCAGGCTTTCCTGGGAGATTTTCCCTTCAGTATTTGCCCCACTTTGAGAAATTACCCTTCCCGCAGCAGCCCTGCCTCTGGTCTATCGTGGAGTTTTTAATTAGGCACTGTCTTGTTAACTAAGCATGGAGAATCAATTGAAGGAAGCTGCAAGGTAGTTGTGTACCTAAAGCTGCAGAGGCATGTCCAAGGCAAAAGGGAGAAACAATCAAAGGGTTCCAACTACTGCAGATGGGACTGCTACAAGCCTTAGCAGACTTGTGGTCATTGCAGGTTTCCTCCACAAGGCAGAAAGCATGACCCACCATTAACTTACCCCTGCCATTTCAGGTTGTACAGAAAAGCCCCAAACCCCCATCCCCACCTTCATCCAAGCACAAGAAAATACCTTGCAGTTTCCTAACACCTTTAACCAGTCAAAGCACGCAGTCAGGTTCAGGTTCAGGACAAAGGCCTTTGTCCTTTGTCCTCCTCTCCTCAAATCATAAGAATTCCAGGAGAAAGACTGCCAGCTCCACACAAATCCAAGAAGCACAAGGGCCCCTATCCCCAGACAAGCTCAGATGCTCAACAGACATATCTGGGTTTATTTACTGGTCCTTTGCTCTTTGTGCAGGGGCAGTGATGCTGTTTGGCAGTTGCAGCATCCTCCTGAATGTGTTTGAGATTGGCTACAGCACAATCCTTGTCCGCTGCAAATCCAATGTGGAAATTTTGTTCCCTGTCGTTGCAATCCTTTTTATTGGCACCCAGGTACTGCACATTACCCTTCTGTAAGCTTGTCTGTTCTCTCTGTCCCTTTCCTGGGAGCTCCAGGGCTGGGGGGAAGCTGGGAGATGTGGGAAGGTGAACGAACATGGGGCATTCTCCTGAGAACTGAAAGCATTAAAGCATCACACACCACTTCAAATGCTGCCTGCACTCCCTGTGTGCCACCTAGAGAGACAGGGGAGAAAGATTCAAAAATTACCCTAGAAATACCTGACATACCATAGGATCCAGAGGAATTTGCTTTGAAACAAAGTACGAAGAGAGGAAATTTCACATTTTGCCAGAGATGTCTTTGCACCAGTCTGTGCCTCAGCTCCTCTTTGTACTTGCCAATCCATCCACCCAACAAAATCCTTTCCACACAAAGATATCTCACACCATTTTCACCTTGTTATTCAACACCACCCTTCTTCTTTACAGACCCAAAGCATATTTGAAAAGTAAACTAATTCCCACCTCAGCAGCAAATACCCGCATGAACAGGACAGAGGAGCACAGAGCTCCGGGATGTGCGTTCAGTGCAGTCACACATAAATGCTGCCCTTACCCAAGGATGCCAGCACCTGCCTCAGCACTGGGGTGCAGGTGCACACGTGTTCCTGCACCCTCACACAGAGGCAGCTTTGCTCCTGTTTGGACCTGTGCCTTCTTTTCTACCTGTTTCTTTCCACCATGTGTGCAGCCAGCTGCAAACCTCACCCTGCTCACAGTGTTATTGTTCTCCACTTGCAGATTTACTTTCTGTGGCATCACTCTAAGGACTGCATTCAAGTCCAGCACAACTTCACCAGGTAAAAAACAAGGACAAAAAATGCCTTCTACTGCTCTAAAAAAACTTTTCCTTTCTGCCTGTGATGTCCATTATGATTCCTGCTAGAAATGTGTGCATCTGCTCCTATACAGACGTAATATTTTGGGTCACACAGGAACCAAACTATGCGTTGTTCAGACCCATCCTCCCTCCACTGAACTGAGCTCACCAGCTCCCTTCATTTTTCCTTTGTGCCTTGGAATGCTGCAAAGCTTCTTCCTTCCTCCCAAACGTCTTCCTGCTGCCCGTCTCAGGCACCAGCTCACAGATGGAGGATGGAGGATGGGGGGGTCTCCCCATTCCTGTTACTGGGAGATGTCCCAGCTGAGGCCAGTTTCACCAGGCACTGCCTGCCCTGCTCCTTTGTCAATGGCAAGTGGGAATATGCTCAGGTGTGTTTATGCAAAGCCACACCCCACGGGCCTCAGGTAGAGCAGGCACAAATCTGTGCTCAAATCTGTGCGTGGGCCAGCGAGAGGGGAAGGACACGCTGGCTGTGAACCATCTCCAAACATTGTACAAGTCCTGTGTCTCCTCCCAGGTGTGGGCTGATGGTCGCCGTAGCCACCAACCTTCTGGAATGGCTCCTGTCCGTGACCAACGACACCCTGCACATGGAGATGGAGTCTCAGCTGCGCGAGGTGGAGGAGCGATTCACAGGCAAGGCTCCTTCTTCGCATCCCCATTGGTGTTAGGCTGACACAGGTGACTTCTAGGAAAACATTTCACAGAATCACAGAATATACTGAGTTGGAAGGGACCCACAAAGATCAGCAAGCCCAGTTCTTGGCCCTGTACAAGACCATTCCCAAGTAGTCCACTGTGTGCCCCAGAGTATTGTCCAGCACTTCTGAACTCTGTCAGGCTTGGTGCTGGTGCACTTCTCTGGAGACCCTCTGGGTCTCAGTGATTCAGATATCTCCAGTTTCCCCAAATGCTGCAACTTCCCTATTATTGGAGGTTGTCTCGAGGAAATGGGCTGCAAGGGGAGAGGATCTTCACCTGGAGGGAGGGGATCTGCTGTGAAGCCCTAAAACTGAGGTCTAGGAAAGGAAAAGCCCACCATGAATTAGCATTTTTGTTCACTTTTTCCTACTAACTGCAAGCACAGGATTGCCAGACTAGAAGAGGCTCGTGTAATTGCTGTGGTCTTCTTTGTGAGGATATAGAGGAGTAAAGGGGAATCTAATATTCCAGGGGGAGAAATAGAGAAGGCTTTGTTGTGAAGGAAGAGGAGTCTCTTATCCAGCACCTGTGGTGTTGACCATAGATAGGAAAAGACATTAGCTAAGCTGTGTTATTCTGAGTCCTCATATACTTTAGGACTGAGCAGTAGCCAAATAACTTCCTTGTGATCCCTGTTTCTGAGGCACAGACACACATGTTGTGCCTGTACTCAAGAAACTCCCAAAGACAGCCATGACATCCAGGTCATCCCTCTCTTAATTGTCACCTTCCTCTTCTCAAGCTCCAGGCAATGAGACTGCCTTGTGCATATGCCCAAACACGACCATCTGCAGAGTCTTCCAGAAGGGCTACATCCTGCTCTACCCCTTCAACACCGAGTACAGCCTGATCTGCTCCTCCATGCTCTACGTCATATGGAAGAACGTGGGGAGAAGCATCAGCCACCACCACAGCCTGGAAAGGAGGCCCAGATTCAAGCTCAAGGGAGTGCTCTTTGGGCCCGTGCTGGGCACCTGTGTTGTAATCATCGGGGCTTGTGTTTTCATGATGTACCAGATCCAGGCCACCAGCTTGGACCCCAGCCGCCAGATCCTTGTGATCTATTTTACCTACTACATTGTGCTCCTGCCCCTGATGAGTGTGTGTGCCGTGGTTGGGACAATCATCCATGCCTTGGAAAAAAAGGAGCTGGACACGGTGCAAAACCCAACCCGCAGCCTGGACGTGGTCCTGCTGATGAGCGCGGCCCTTGGCCAAATCTGCATGTCCTACTTCTCCATTGTGGCCCTGGTGGCCAGCAACCGCAGAGACCTGCTGAACAGGCTTGCCCTGGCCTATTCTGTCCTCATTATCCTTCAGAACATCAGCCAAAATGTTTTTGTCATTGATGGGCTCCACCGGCGGCACGTTGTAGCAGCAGCTGAGGCCAAGCATGAGGCCAAGCACACCGGACACTGTGAGCAGCACACGGTGGCTGCAGAGCTGCCTGGGGAAGAGGAGGGCACGCAGGACAGCGTACAGGAGCACAGCCAGACACCTCCCGCCAAGGAGGAAAAGGAGGAAGACACTAAAGAAGAGCAGAATTGTGAAGCCTGCAGCCAGAGACGAATGAGCGTGCTGGAGCTGGGACAGGAGATCCGGAAATTTTCCCTGTCCTACATCCAAACCTACTCTCGCCTGACCTGGAAGAGAAGAGTATTGAGGGAGATCTCGTTCTTCTTAGTTCTGTGCAACATCATAGTAAGTATTGTGCTCTCTGCTCTGTCACAGCTCCGGCTGAGCCACGGTGACCTGTGACACAGACGTGATCTCTTTGTCTTTCTCTGTATTCCAAACAAAAAACCTTTGCCCACCAAGTCTCAAGTACTGGTGAGGAAAGCCACGACTGGTTTTGCTGATAATACCCCACCCTCATAATTAGAAAGTCTCTTTTACCCTTAGAGTCAAGTATTACTGTGTTTCATGGGAGGAGACAGCTACTAAGTCCTTACTAGCCAAGATTTTAGCCTCTGAGAAAACCCCCACTAGGCTTATTAAGGGTGTTTCATGAGAAACATGAAAGAAAATGTCAGGCACCAGCATTAAGTCTCTGTAAACATGAGTGTCCAAGCTTGAAACTCACACAATAAAGTACACTGTGGTCTGGGATCTTGAATCAACACTGCAGCCTTAATCCAGTGAAAACCCATTGCCCAGGGAAACAATGAAACCCCATAGAAAGAGAAGCAGGCTGGGGCAGAATGGGGCTGTCTTTAGGTTTCCAGGGATTCAACAGGATTTGAATTAGAGCAAGGAGTCAACAGCATAAGTGTGGGATTTTCCTTCTCCTCGCTGGCAAGGTGACTACTGTGATACTCCTAAAATATTCCTACAACTCTTGAGCCAGTGCTGAGATTAGGGTGCAAGTAGGGGACAGTTTGTCATCCTCTGACTTGTGTCTCTTTCCCTCACATCTCTCCAGCTGTGGATCATGCCCACATTTGGGTCTCACCCCCTGTTTGAGAATGGAATAGAAAGGTCATTTTATGGCTACTCCACCTGGTTTGTGATCGTGAACTTCGGCCTCCCCTTGGCTGTGTTTTACCGCATGCACTCCATCAACGGGCTCCTGGAGGTCTACGTGACAGCCTGAGCCAAGCTGGACCCCCACCCCAGGGGCTGGGGAGAGTCAGTGATGCTGAACAAAGATGCAGTAAGCAGTAGATATGCACATGGAAGCTTCTAAGACGTTTTCCCTCCAGTTTCTGCTTGGACTTCTTGTACAACATCACAGTGACTTTCAGAAGAGGTTCTTTAATGTTGTCCTTTTCCACCATAGAGAATAGACTCAAAGCCCATAAACAAACTCTCACTGCTCTCAGGAATCACACATGCAGTCAGCAGTCTGCCAGTGGGTGCTGTTTGGCAGCAAATGGGACTTTACCAACTCCTCTTGAGATCACCCAGATAAAAGAATGCAAGGGCAGCCTTCAGCAAAAGCAATGAAGACTGGCCTACACCAATTCAGAAAATCAAAAGCAGTCAAAAAATAAAAGCTATTACATGACCTTGCCTTACTGAGAATAAACACTTCTTCTTCCTACAGGCCCTCCCAGAGGTGGGAATCACTAGGGAAGCACTGTGGGTGATCCTTACACACCACGGGTGATGTTATCACTGGTGTGGACTAGCCAAGGTCCCATCCTTGTACAAGGGCCAGCTCAAGAGCAAGCCACTGCCACATCCACTGTGAATCTTTCCCCATCCCAACACGTTGGCCCTTGCTGCTGCCTTGCACACCCACAAACCTTTCTTGAGGTCACCATGCACAGAGGAAGGCAGCTGCAGAGGTGCCTGATCAAAGACCCATTGGGATGTGTTCCATAGGGATGCTTGCTTTGAAAGCATGTGCGAGAGCAAGGGGCTTGTGACTGTGGGTCCAAATCCAGAGCTGATGAACTAAAATAAAGAGATTGAGTTTCCATGTGTGTCTTGTGAAATCTCTGTGTCTGCTCAAGGTCAACTCACATAAATTGCTCTTACATTCAGAGGTTGTGTGGGGCTCTGAGCAACCTGGCCTTGAGGAAGGAATTCCTGCCCATGGCAGATGAGCTTTATGGTCCCTTCCAACCCAAACCATTCTGGGATTCTCAATCAAAATCTGTCATGACCCTTACCCAAGCGTGGCACAAAAGGCATTCTCATTATTGCTTCTGTTCCTTTGTAAATGAATGCCAGGATCAGTGTGGGTTTAGGATTGCAGCCTATTTATGGGGTTTTTTTGGGATTTGCTAGTGAAGCAAACTCTCCCAAGACAGTAACAGTGAGGATTCAGCATTGAGGCAGTTTCACTTTCTGTAAAACTCTAAGTGAGACTGATTGCATGAGCATGAACTTTGCCCAATAAGTGTTTGTATTTGGGCCCATGTCAACAGAAATATGTCATGAAAAATAACAGCTGGATAAATTAGGCTCCAATAAAGTTAATTTTTATTCTCAAGTCAGTGTTTGTACCATGGGATCCACAGGACATACATGCTAACGTCTGACCTCAAACCTTCTTTGTAGTGACTGACAGCCTGGGGACAAGGAGAGATGGCACTTTGTGGGCAAACCATGACTTGGATTTTGTCCAGTTTAATGGATAAAACACTGGTTTAAGTTACTGAGCTTTCAGAGAGCAGGTGACTTTGGAATGAACACTGAATACATGACTGAAGACATGATCAGCATGGACAGGAATGAAGCCCACCAGCTCCAACGCTCACCTGCAGCCACCACAGATCAGATAAACAGTCAGGGCCCTCCATGTCCTTTCCTAACAGCCCCTAGGGCCAGGGTGCCTGTTTTACAGGTCTCAACTGCACAAAGGTCTTAGCACATGGTTCACTAACTCAGGAGGCTTGATCCTGTTTGATCTGAGATGATGCTATAAACACAGAAATGGCCAAACCCACACAATTCAGGCTCATTTCCCAGAGTCAAATCTTCATTTTTGATTATAAAAAAAATTACCACTGCAGAGGAAGCCAGCCCACGGTCCACTAGTGGCACAAAAAAAACCTCAACATAAAACAAACAAGATTATAAACCTCCCTCTGCGGAAGGAGAAAAAAAAAGTACCCAAGTGCATGTTTCAGTTATCTTTATCTTTCTGTCCATAAGTAAGCAAAGAGTTTACAGTGCAAGTTGATTTCCACAGAACAAGGATCAGACTCCAAACACCAAGAAACAAACAAAAAGGCTTCCAGAGGAACTCACAAAGAAATAAAGCAGAAAAGAGAGGACGGAAGAGATCATGAGAACCAGCAGATCCATGGGAGGGAAGAGGCAAAGCACGTGGGACACAGGAGGCCCCATTCCAGCTGTGAGGTGCGAGTGCCATACAATCAGAGTGTGGCCCCACCAAATCACATTCTTATACACGAGATTCTCCAAGTGAAACAGACCCTGTTTACACCTGAACAGAGGTGGGGTCAGGATGGGAGTAGTGCTGGGTGGCAAAGTGGGTTGGAGATGGGAGGCAGGTGGGGGAATAACCTCTCTCTATTTCACATACTTCTTATCCTTCAGAAAACCGTTCCAATTTTATTTCACTTTTTCCTGGCCTGGGACTCCATTCTCTCTCAGTGCCCAGAGGAGGAAACCACCTGACTAGAGGCCAGTGGGAGCCAGCAGCACACTGGAGCAGCTCTCTGGGAGAGGATGGCCATGCTGTTACCACTGCAGCTGCCAGGGTTAGGCCAGGGTTGCAGGTCACAGAGTGTGTCACACTGTCCCTGTACTCAATGTGACAGACCTGTTTCCATGCAGTGACGCTGGGCCAAACCTGTGGCAAACAGCTCATGACCAGCAATCCTCCCAAGAGCCTGAATAAAAGAGCACCAAGGATTATGCTTTGATGGAAAGGTCTCCGTTCATGACAGGACCCCTCACATTTCATTGCCTAAAGACCACGTGGGTCTAAGACAGCAGCCCCTCCCAGCAGAACATAACATTTGACTCAAACCTCAAGAGTGTCTCCACTCACCAATGTGTAACCCCACAATGCTAAACCAAGCCAGCTACAGCAGATCTCCCACCAATTTCCATTCTGGCTTCCCAAAATTTATACATGCCTGGGACCCAGTACATTCAAGATCCAATAACTTGGTCAATAAGCAAAATGCCCTGAAGAATTCAACTGTGCCTCAGCACTCTCCACTCCCTACTGACATGGAGATGCTTTTCCTCCTACAACTTCCAAATTCCTCCTACAACTTCCCTGAGTGGCTCCCTCAAACCCTTGCCTTAACAGTAGTGTGCAAAAGACCGTTCTGCTCCCTGCATTGCATCAGCCTGCCAGGCAAAGATGGAAGGATATGGTTCCTTTCAAATCCAGGTGACGGTGTCCTTTCAGCCAGTGGGAGAAGACTTAAAAGAGTTTGAGTCAGGTCTCTCCTCCTTGCTCTCACTGAGCCAGTCCCTTCCTCCCTGTGTGCTCACACAGTTTAAAAAGGGCTTTTAAAAGTAAGACAGGCTCCTTTGCAACAGTCCACCATGAAGGACAGGCTGCTGGGCTTGGAAGCCAAGGAAAAACTTCTGACCCACACCAACAAAACTTCTCAAGCAGCTTTCCAGGAAAGGACTAGAGAGATTCAGAACTGAGACACAAAGTTCTCCTTCAACATCATTTAGGTGGGATAGACTTCCCTATATGCAACAGAGACACCAGGGAGACACCTGCAGCCAGAAGGGATGCCTTGGAAACTTTATGGAGCTACATGGAAGTAACTGCAGTTTCCAAACCCTGTGTCCTGCAGGAATAGCAGCTTCTCCCTTTGCACCCAATTTACAGCTAGTCTTTTTCAATTAAATGCTGACTCTGACCAGGGCAAGGACAGGGTCAGATTGGTTTCCAAACCACATCCAGAAGCAAAAGAGTAACAGAGGAGCTAAGAACAGTCTTGATTTCTAGTGCAACCACAACAATGGACAATCCCTTAGATATCTTTTACTCAAGGTTCGTGGTGAAGGGTGAGGGAAGAGAAGTGAGCTGGGGGGAGGGATGCCCAAGCAGGTCCCGATTAAAGCTTTAAATGACAGGGAGGTAAATGAAGTGATTGTCCTTTTGGTCTCTCAGCTGGACGTGAAATGCAGGAATAGCTGTGATGAAGCAGCACGCCACAGTCCTTAGATCCAGTGTATTTCTCTCAGTAGAGGTAAGTGTTCTCTTCAGACCCGTTGGATTTCAAACAGCTTAACATCTGTGTCATACCAGATGGGGGGATCCACATTCCTGAGACAGAAAGACAAGAGCCACTTTACTCCCTGAGGCCAGTTACATAGAATTCAAATCTCACAGCCATGATTACAGGAGCTGGCTGCACAGCGTGCCTTCCTTTGCATAAAAGGAAATCACTGGTTGAGAGACAACACACCTTACAGGGATGGCAGTATCTACAACATCCCACAAAGCCAGAGCTTTGCATAAAATCTCTGCACCAGACCCTCTGGGCAGCTTTTCTATTCCCTGCTGCTGCCAGTTCCCAAACAAGCAGCACTCCCAGAACAACCCCCTTCATGTCACCCACTCAAAGTTTAGGAGTAGCTGATACACCCAAGGGAAAAACATCTTCCTATCCTGTAAATATGAGATAAGCCAGGGCTGGCTGAGGGCATGCAATTGTCTCTGTAGGCCTCCCAAAAGTGTGGAAAAGACCAAGCCAGGCTGCACCCAGCTGCTTTACCTCAAATAAATAACTCCCCACATGTAGGTGCGGAACCACATGGCAGTGCCCGAGTTTGCCTGGTACTTGCGGATGAGGATGGGGTGAGGCACTGGCAGCAGCCCCACCAAGGTGCCATGCTGCAGGAACTTGAGGATCTCCGACTCATCCGTGAGACCCCTGCCAAGACACAGACCAGGAACATCCTTAGCATGTCCCACAGACACCTCCAAAAGTGCTGCAGCATGAAGGACCAGCAACAAACACAGACACTGAGCTGTGGCCCAGGAGAACACACCCCCTCTCCTCTGGAAACAGAGAAGGGATCACACAAACAAGATGTTTGGCAAGCCAAGTAACAACTCTACTGAGCCCGGGATGCTTTCAATTAAACTTTACAAGGTTTCCCTTAGAGGCCCTCCAAATTCAAACTCTGCCAACCTCACATTGCTCCTTAAACACCACACAGCCTTCCTTTCCAAAAATCTCCTTACTTGTCAATGCAGATCTTCTCCACCTGAGGGACCAGCACCTGTAAGAGCCGCATGATTGTCTGCAGGGGGAGCTTCGACTTCCAAGACATCACCTGTAGGTAGGAA